GGTTCTTTAACAAGAAAATTAGGTTTTGTGATGTAATTTTCGTTTATATATAAAGGTTAAACGATTTGGTTAAAATTTCCGGTTTAGCAGACTTCGTAACGAAGTCTGCTAAACCGGCAACGAAACCTAAACTCTGGACGAAACTCTAAACTCTCGATGAAACCCTAAACTCATAGTAGACTTCAAGTAGACTTCTTATGAAGTCTACTATCTGGAAACTCAAATCGATTATTTTCAATGATTCTTCCAAACCCTATACCAAAACTTATTCCAAACATTCAAAATGTATAATATATTCACAAGTTAACATTTTTATTAGTCCCTAACTCTAATCCTAAGTGTAAAACCATGTTCTAAACCCTAAACCATAAATATGAATCTAACTAAACCACCATAACCATAAATAAACTCATGAAACTTATAAATATCGAACAATAATAACTACCAAAATGTTACCACATCAATATCCAACCAAATGTTATGAAGTACCTTATATGGTAAGTCTTTGTTTAGTATATAGTATGTATTTCATTCATAGCCTAATTTGTTTAAGTAGGTTTAAATTGTGAAATTTTATTTTTCATACTTCACAATTGTTTATAGTTTAGTCATCAATCAAAAAATTTTATTAAAATATTTTTTGTTAATTTATAAATTTAAATTTAAAATATAATTATATAGTAGATTGTTGTTGTAGTCTACTAAACCACAAAAGTATACTTCACATGAAGTCTATGAATTTCTAATTATATACTCGAACTAATTATGCAAATTCAATTATTCAAACGTTCATTATATGTTTCTTATATAAACGCAAAAGATTAAAAAAATTAGAAATTGCATAATATATTTTTGGAGCATCTCCAATCTAACTCCATTTTTATTTCAGATCAACATTTTTGAGTGAAACCTTCACAAACTTTACTTTATTTCCAAACGAGTTGGAATAAAATTCAATTTTTTATTGAAGGTACTAGAATTTTGACTGAAAAAGAGTTATAGTATATGTTGAGGATGCTCTTAATTAATGACAAACATAGAATCGTATCGTACTAGTGTGGTATCAATGCGCCAACGACATATGGGAAGGTTACGATCACATGGGATCGTGAATTATAACCACATCTCCTCACAAGATGCACATGATCAATCAAACCAACATCTTTCATAAAACAAACCATATTAATAGATACCAATTAAAAAGGTAACTAATAATAATATACTCCCTCCGTTCCATG